ACAAATAAACAGAAGATAGGATTCTAAGGAGGATTCATTGACTTTGTATAACGGGGAGCAAAGAAAAACAAAACCAGGGAGATAAGACAATGGCAAATGGCTCAAAAGAGGAATGGGYAGGAGGCAGAGCAAGAGAGAGATGCAGCAAAGCAGCAGAGAAGTCCTGCTCTACTAATCAAACCATAATTAGAAGGTGAAATCTATATCCAATGAAACCAAAACTTTCAGTTATTTCTTAGATTTATTGAATAAAGAATGCTTGGACAGCCTGTTATTCCTCAAATATCCCCAAACACCTCCACTATAATTCTCCCAGTGAAGAGAAACTTTTCAGAGTTTCAGTCCTGGTCACCACTTCCTTCCAGCATGAACCATGCAGCTCTGCAACAGGAGCTACAAAAGCAGATAAAGAGCCTCCAGCCAGCACCTAAAGAGCCAAGAAAAGTGGCTGAGAACCCCAACACCACACTGCTCGGTCTCTGACAAACACCTGAGCTTAAGATACAAGACAAGGGAATCCTGCAGTCAAGAAACTTGCCTGGCTTAAGGAGAGATTCTACTCACTGCACTGGTACAGGATTTCCTCAATAATTCCAGCAAATAACTTAAGTCTTCTTATTTKTCCTCATCTGGAAAAGTGGGTCAGTAATTTCACATTTGTTTRTTTAGTCTATTCTGATTAAAACTCCAAGCCAAGCATTCTTTCCTTTACTGCACTTAACTCAAACCATGTAAAATTCAGAACTTTTTTTTTTTTCGTCTGAACTTCGAGGCATCTTTCAGCTTTTCACTGCAGACACAAGGGCTGAGAACCTGAGATGGGTTTTTTTTTTTTATGAAAGAAAGGTCATACAGCCATAGGGATTCTAGGGTCACCTCTCTAAAGAGCCAGCCAGCATTACATTGCCAATAACAAACCCACAACAACTTTGTTGTGTTAACAAATATGCAAATTTTATCAATTTTAAAGCTTGCAGATGCTATTTTAGAGTTATTAGAAAGCCCTCCACTTCAGATTTGCAAAGGGTCACTCCTCAACCCCTGTTTCTACCCCTTCACATCTCACCATCACTCTACTACAAAAACATCCTGCACAGAGCTAAGGTTCAAGCACAAAAACAGTGCTTTGAATCAAGAGATTCTGCAGTGGAAACACTCTTATTGCTGTATTTACAGACCTCTACCAAAGAGGAATGTTTTCCCTCTGCCTTCTGGTGTTCAATGGAAAGCATTCAAACAGAGTGAAGTCCCCTGAGATCCTGAATGCATGATAGGATGTACTTACTGTGACTGCTATGAAAAACACAAACAGTGGGATTAAATTCATTTACCCCAAGGCAAAAGAAAGAAGGTCATTCCAAAGTTACCAGGATGTGAAAGCACAGATAAACAGATTCTGTAAAAGTTACCAAAGTGTTCTGGAAAGGATTTGTTGGAAGAAACCCCACCTACWCTTACTGGAGGGGTAATGGGTTTATCATGTCCTTAGGACACATTTTACACTACACGTCTTCCAGATGAGCTGGTCAAGATGAAAGTTAAGATGAAGACAGACAGGTAAAGGGTAAATATTCTGATTAGCTGTGTCTTGAATTAATTCCACTGGATGATTTTTCTTGCCACAAATTCCAATAGAGGTCACAGCTATTTCCAGGCAAACAGGCTTTGTTTCAACCTGGTGCACCTCTGAATTCCTAGAGTTSTAAAGCCACACCATTAAAAAGTCCAGCCATATTTAATGACAATGGAAGTCACTTTGTGGAAAGCTCTGTGCTGCTGCAGCCAGTAGAGAGAAATGGAAATTTCTAAGTAGCACTACTTTTTATGTCAAGCTAGTAGTAATTTAAATGATGATTTGGAGGTGCCTACCTATTTCCATCTTCACTTCAGTCAAAGACAAGAAAAACAGTTACAACCTGATTTCTAAGTATAATATTTTAACTGGTTCCAAGTTTTGTTCTCTCCCTGACTCACAGGTAACTTTCTCCTCACTGAATTTTGCCACTGAGGTGCCTGGAACCATAATAATGTTTCCTATAATAAATGAAAAATTATAAAAGCAATATATTTTCTGACTCCAGCAGCATTTCCTTTCAGCACTTGATATATTTCTTTTTAAATGTGATGTAGTACTAGAGATTATGACCCTGGAATCCTTCCAGGTAATAAATTGCACATGTTTATTTGCTATGCACGAATGTAGAAAACACAACTTCATATTCTCATTTTGAGCCATGGAGTTAGAATAGATTTTCCTAGGCAAATATTCTAATCCCAAAGTTCCTTGCTTTCCAAGAAACCTGGGGTGGTTCTGCCTGGAGCAGAGACAGCTTGAGGAGAAATTAAAGGCCTTTCAGTACCTAAAGGGGCTGCATGAGATGGAGAGGAGCTTTTTACAAGGACATAGAATGATAAAACAATGGGCAGTRGCTTTAAAACTGAGAGAGATTAGSTTTAGATTARATATTARGAAGTAATTCTTCACTATGAYGGTGGTGAGACCCTGGTTGCYCAGARAAGCTGTGGATGTTCCATTCCTACAAGTGCTCAGGGACAGGCTGGATGGGGCYCTGAGCATCCTGGTCTGGTGGGAACTGTCCCTGCCCATGGCRGGGGGGTTGGAACGAGATSKTTTTTAAGGTCCCTTCTAATCAAAACCATTCTATCATTCTGTGATCTCATTTTTGAGTGAGAAACTCCATCCAAAGTCAAGTTGGGAAAAAACCCAAAACCAACACAAAACATTTTCTTACAAAACCCCCAGAACACCAAAACATTCCTAACCAATTCCAGCTTTGATGGCGCCTTTTAACCTTCTGTGTCAATTGACAGGCTCCTCTGTGACTCTAGCTGTGTGAAAGGTCCTCAGGATTCAGCTGGGTCAACCAGCTCAGAACGCCCCATGTGGAGAGGAAACTGAGAATAGCACAGAGGCATTCCAGCAAAATTAATCACTGATCCTTTTGCACATATTCCCCAACAAGAGCACCAGTTTTAAYATAGACWTTTGAYGGGAAAGATGTTTGTCCTTTTATCKCCAGACTTAAATCGATTTACAAAYAGCAACAAATAATAACAATTGATWGTTATTRTCAATAGCTCAACTCAGCACTAGAGCAAGGAATTTGACTTTTTTTCCACACAATAGAGAGGAATTCACAGTCAATGTTATAACTTTCCATATAATACAAGTTTTAGATTTATGAGTGAAGACAGTTTGGATAAGCTGAATAATAACCTTTGCAGGATATAGCAGAATAAATTTACAACACAACTGCTACTTTTACAGGTGATCTGTCTCTTTTTATGATGGAGGGTAGGATGTACTCAGACAGAGTTCTGTAAGTTCACATGTTAATGAATCTTTTTTAGTGGAGTGTCCTAATAAAAACATAAAAAAGTAAATTTGTCTGTTAAATYGTCAGTTGCAATGTCATTACTTTGGGGGTGGAGTGCAGAACAGAAGAAAGCTCTCCACTATGGAGCTGTTAAAAAGTTCTGTGAAAACCATTATTGGGGTTCTTTTTGTTCATTACCAATCTCTCAGTGCTGCTAAACATTTTCCCCCTCCCTTGCTGGGCTGCTCAACACTAACTCTTTCCCCAAAGTGATTTTGAGAACCAAACCGCTCCTCTTATTTGGAGAAACAAAAAAAATACCATCTCACTTATCTCCAGTGCCCAAAATGCTTCATTACAGCCAGACATAYTTGCCAAAAACCCTTTCAAACTACATGCCTTTGAGTCAACAGGTGGCTGTAAAAAGTAATAAAGAGCCTAGTTTTATTCTCTAATGGATCTTGTCTAAAAAATATATTTTAGTTCATACACTTACTGCTTTGACTTTTTTCTGGGGAAGTATCATACATGGATGTAAGGAAAAAAGGAATTTGGCCTCTATTTTGACTGAAGCTTTACTCCAAAGAGCAGTGTCAGAAGCTGAGGTTGAAAAGTCCAGAACCACTGTTATTCCTAAGCTTCCCACTTCTTCATAAATGGCTTGAAACAAAATTAAATGTTTGTATTCCTGTATTAATTTAAAGGTCGATGTAACAAAATATTTGCACTGCCTTTTATATAGATATAGTAATACAAACTGGTCTAAAAATAACGTGTCCTATGAGATTATTAGGACATTTTTATAATTAAAATGTTCTTCTTCTTGCATTGCTAAAATGATAAGAAAATAACAAAAAACCCCAACAACGTGCCAAGTTTTAATTGCAAGATTATAGGGCTGGAATTCTTGGTTTTATTTGCTGCTAGATTTAGCAAGTAAGTGCCTATCTAAGCTTCCTTTCCCAAGCCCTGTACTGCTGTAACACACTGTCCCATGGCTTCTTTCTGAGTTTGTGCCAATAGTCAGGAATGTATGGACACCMAGAGCTATGGAAGRTTTYRTGCTAAATTCAGAAAGAAAATATTCAAATGGATAACTAGACATAAATCCCAGAATTAAACACTAGCAAGATTTCCATACCTAGGGTGGGTTGCTTTTTTTTTTTGAAAGAGTTCCTCCAGACATGGATGGAGTCTCTTGTTTACACTAAGCAGGATTCATTATCTAGCACAGCCTTTGAACACAGAGTTTTAACTTCAGTCACAAGCCTGCTTAAAAGAACACTCAGCCTACTAAAAAGTGCCCATGAGCTTCTTTAGATTGGCRTCATTGTCATTCTAGACACTGGATTAAACCTTTTCCAGAACATCCAATAAACCACTAAAAGCCTTGAGAAGAAAACTASCATTAAACAACTAATTTCATAACACATCATAGTAGCTCTTCATTGCACTCACCTTTGCTTGCTGAACCACACATGATTGTTGCTCAGGCTGCTCCACCACAAGAAATTTATCTCCAAGTATTCTCCTCTCATCACAGCACCTAAATGCAATGCCTCAATACCACTAAAATGAGGGCTATTACAAGGCTTTTATATGGTTCAATTCTGTGCAGCTGGTTGCAGGGAGCAGGGAGTCCATTCAAGATTAAATTCACCTCACCTGCAGAACTGGAGATTAAATTCACCTGTGGAAGAAAAAGATTCATTGTAACATTTAACAAWTCCTAAGCAGCATTTTGAGTGGAGCTCAATGTTTTTTGGATCAAAAGAAAGAGAARGATAAAATTGGAAGAAGACAAATAGTTGCTGCATTCACAAGCAATTTAAAAGTGAAAAATAAATGGTTAACACAGTCTGCTCAGCTAGGTTGCACAGTGATAGGAAAAATCTGCAGGAGGAGATAAATACCTTACAGTAAAACATCTGGGACAAACCTTTGTATTAATCTGTAAAAAAGATCGACTGCTCTGTAATGCTAAAAATGTAGACCAGGACCTTTTTTTTTGTGATTTTGCCCCATATGGACTCAGATAACAAAAAATGATCTGAATAGGCCCGGTAGAGTGTTTACCATCAAAAGAAAATGCTGTTTTTGCTTTATTTTCCAAGCATCTTGGCAATGTCTATTYGTATTTTAAAACTGTTGGTGATCTCTGTTTTTGTAAGTCCAGGGTATCTGACCTGTCACAGTCGTGTGCATTTTCCTGGAAGTCATGGGAGCCCACCATGGTTTCAGGAATGTCTTGGGAAATCCACAAATATTCTGCAAACATTTGGTGGGTGAGTGGCAATACTGTAGGAGGCTATACTTGGTTTCTCAAACATTTTAACAGGAAACAGGTTCTCCAAACAGAAACAAAGGCTGTTGAGTAAGAAGGAATATTGCAWAAGGTTGCCAGGCTGACCCCTCCCCTGGACACCAGGTCAGTGCCCACAACTCCTGAAAAGAGAATCTGTTTCATCACAAAATGATATTTGGCTGCACCATGACCTCAGATCATTCTCTCCAATAGATTCTGCCATGCTTGCTGGAGCCTTCACAACATCCTAGCTACAGGTCAGGAGAAAAAGCTGATGCAGAAAAAGATGTGGGAAACAGCTCTGTTGTTACATTCTGCTCTCTCTGAAGCTGTGGAAAGCTTCACAGATGTATCAAAAATCTTCATCCATCCTTGGATTAGGCTGAGTCAAGTATATATCTCCCTATTACTGAAATTCAAGAAGTTAAAGAAAATACTGGATAAGCAAGCATATGTTTTCAGTTATCCTCCTCCCTGAAAAGGAAGTTGGTCAGACAACAAAATGAGGTGAAAAAATAGAAAGTACATTTTGAACATACAGCTCTTCCTGGGAGTTCTTTATGGGAAATGGATTTTTTTTTCCATACAGAAGTTGCTTAAAAAGTAAAGGTCTTGTTTCTACATTTTAAAATATTCATGCAAACATAGCTTCAGTTACATTTTCAGACTTTTGATCCATTTACAACRTGGGAAAAAAGAGTGTGTGAAAGGTTTTGATTAGTCTTAGAAATCTCTTAATTCTTGGAGCACAGAAAAACATTAGCCCTGGGTTTTTTTTTAATATTAACTCTGCATTAAATCCCAGGAGTAGCATATTTTTATGACTTTTGCCAATATTGATTTCTAACCACATTCCATTATTATGCATATATTACACCTTAACACTTCCATGATTCTAATTCAATACTCTGCAACCTGTAAATGTCCTCTGAACCTGCACAAATCTCATTGAAAACAGTGAAAAAAAAAGGAATTTATTTATTTCACTGGGCTTTGGAAYAGCATTCTCTAAAGAAATTCAGGCTTACACGCCACCCTGTGTTAGACCTGCTCTTTTCAAATGCAGCAATTGAGCCTGAAAGATTCTATAAATCATATAATTGAGAAACCAATGCACATAAAAGGAATTATAGCAAAGTCATTTTTATTTTGCAATATCCTGGGCCAATGCCCAGGATGAACTGCACTCAGGGCTCCCTAGGTGATCATTATGGTTCAAGAAAGGTTTGGGAAAAATCGTTTTACTCCAGACAGTAAGCAAGTATTGAGCAGAGCCATTGAAGCTGTTTATGTTTCAACCACAATAGAATGTCACTAAGGAGACAGGAATTGCTACCTAAACTCATGACCAGAATTCAGAATTACCAATGGTTTCCCTTCAATACAAGCAATATGTGCCTAAAGCCAGTCCASTGACTTCCAGACTCACCCAAAATGACAGTGGCTCCTTGAACTACAATAATAAGTGCTATTTAACCATTTACTTTTTGGACCAGCTTTTTATTGCAGTGGAATTGCTGTGCATTCTCCCTGGCAAATCTAACCTTTCAATTGAAGCTACAAGTTTTTCATGACTGCTTTTCATGTTATTATTACGAGTCAAGCCTTTCCTTAGTCCATAATCCAGCATTTCTCTTTTGAACCTCAGTGTTTGATTTCACCACTAATTGACATGTTCAAGATAAAAAGGATACAGGTTTCTGTATATCTGCTTTGCTACGGATGTGTATCTCTCAGTGAACAGATTACAAATGAATAAAACCCTGATTTTCTGCATTCTCCCTATGTAATCATAAAGTTCTCCTCTGCTGTTTTCCTGGGTTTTTTTTCCCCTTATAGCAGAAAAAAATAGCGCTGAAGGAATTTGGGTTGCTGTTTTTGATTGAACTTGCAAATTGTATGGGAACTAAGTTATTTTGGCAACTCATCTCCTCTGCTACACTGGGGAGGCAGAGGCTAAAAGGGTTCAAAAGTAATTCAGTGACACGCAGAGTAATGTGTGAGCTTTGCTTTCATGAGGAGCTGGGCTAAAAACAAACTTGAAYTGGTGTCTCTCTCTGTGATCATCAAAATGGGAACCGGCTGGATCCATCATTTGGTRAAGGGATGTGAAGGAGATTGCAGAATTCATTGGTCCTGCACCACAGTGATCTCCCAGTCACAACCTTTTCTACAGATTGGAACTACCCCATAAAACACAATACTCTAAAAAGAGGAACCTGTGGATGAACTGTGYGTGCCTTTCTGGAGTTCTGGGTAATGCTGATGTGGTTTACTACTGATTGCCACCTCATGAAGCCAGACCAGCAATGGAAATGTTCTCTGCACTGGCAGTGAAATACTGGGAGATTCCTCAGTCTGATTAAAGGAATGGAGATCCCTCTCTCATGGGGAAGCAGCAGGGATGGGAGGTGTTGTCTCAAACAGTGGTGAGATGAGCCAGAGCACAGAGCAACTCCTGTTTGACATTTCTGCTTGACATGACTGAAATTTTTCCTGCTAGCAACAAGCTGGTAGGAATTAAGAAATCCACCRTTTTCTATAGAGAAAGAAAGAAGAAAACCTCACAAGGTTAAAAAAACTCAAAAAAACAAACCTTTAAACTCCCACCACGATGCTGGCGTGTACTGCTTGTACACTTCATTGGGAATACTGATATTCCGTCAATAAGAAATCAGATGCAACAGCAGAACCTACTATATAAATGTGYCTAAATAAATAATAAAAGCAATACTGTACACAGGCACAGGTGTGGACTAAGTGCTTCCCAAAATATGGAATCATTCAGATTTGTCTCAGACATTGGGTGTGACAGTCACAAAGTTCAGATCCAGAATCCCAGCAATAAGGTGTTCAGACTCCAGATTTTGCCCTGTCATTATTGTAAAAGTATATATTGCTGCTCTGGTTTCCCTCTTGCTGCCTTCTTTTTTTTTTTTTTTTTTTTTTTTTTTTTTTTTATCGTCCTTATGAAAGGACTCCTGCTCACAGGAAAAGTGTGACTGGTTTTGTTTATCCTACTTGTTATATGAGAGCAACTTGCAGGCTGTCATTTCATTATTAAATTTGAAAACWAAGCAAACACCAGATCACTACAAGACTGGATTACATGAAAATAAGCCCTTTTCTGCCTTACTTGTTTTAGCAAAACTTAGTATGAGTGATGGTAGGTAAAGCTTCTATCATCAAATGCTAAAATCATTAAGTGACTAATCCTCATTGTCAACAAGWTCTGCTTTCAAAGTTAAGTCTACTTTGTCCACCTTCCAAAAATTACTAGGAAATTTATGATTCAACAATGAACTCTTAATTGCTTCCTCTTTATGTTGATCTGTTTTCCTGGAAATACAATTAATTCTCTACGCTGAGCCTTTAATAATGAAACAAATTGTAGTCCTTGCTCACTTTGGCAATGCAATCACTTTTAATCAGTGCATAATTAGGATTTAAACAGTATCAACCTGTCCCTGTTGCAAGAAGGTAACTGCACTTAAACTTCAATTACTCCTAAATTTAAAAATCAATTGCAAATAAAATGTCCTGCTGCTGATGCTAARGAGATTAGAAAGACCAGAATACATTCACACAAGAAGCCAGTCATGTCAACACAATTGCAACAAGCAGCTGCCATAATGTAGGTAATTCTGCTGTAATGCAATATTAAGGCCTTTATCTAATCAAAGGCTGTGGGCTAAGACRGTCAAAAAATACAAGATGCCTCAAAAGGCAGAATGCTATTGTTTTATGTATGGTTTTATCTTGTGTAGAAAAAATGAGCTACTTTGCTGTAAAATATGTTTTTTGGTATAAATGCTTTCTGTGGAGAGAGCTTAAAGGGTTTTTTTTAATCATTGTGGTGTTTTCTTTCYTCTTTTTTCCTCTGTAAAAAATGAGTTTTTCCTCACAATATATCCACAGCAAGAAGACAGAAAGGTTAGAAACCAGACATCCTTTGTGATGCCTCTAAAGGTGTGAAATAACAAGTCCCTTTTGCATATGTTTATCAAAAGTTTTCTGAGAACATCAGGGACAGCACTGCAAAAAAAGCACTGTGAGGCAGAGATCCTGCTGGGGTGGCCTTTGGGTAAACCTGGCATTGGAGATCTTCCTGCCTTAGGTGTGTAAAACCTGAGGAAAAACTTAACCAGTTTATTCATATTCTTGGGTGGAAACTGCCAGAAAAAAAAAAATCAAATGAAAATTCTATCACGACTACTTGGAGACTSTCTCTTTTTAAAGAATTCTTCCAAACGATCTCTCTGGGGATGTGACTCTCATGTCACCATGGTAGGAAACAGCRAAGAATTATTGTCTGCAAAACAAAGCTAACCAGAAATGTGCTGAAAGGAGTATCCAGACTCTACACTCTGTGAGCAGATGCTTCT